ATCCCAGTGCCACCAGTATGCACATCCCAGTGCTCCCAGTGCCACCAGTATGCACATCCCAGTGCCACCAGCACACACATCCCAGTGCCACCAGTATGCACATCCCAGCACTCCCAGTGCCACCAGTACACGCATCTCAGCATTCTCAGTATGCACATCCCAGTGCTCCCAGTCCAACAGTCACCCATCCCAGTGCTCCCAGTACCACCAGTATGCACATTCCAGTGCTCCCAGTGCCATCAGCGACCCATCCCAGTGCTCCCAGTGCCACCAGAGATCCGTCCCAGCGCTCCCAGTGCCACCAGTATGCACATCCCAGTGCTCCCAGTGCCACCAGTATGCACATCCCAGTGGCACCAGTATGCACATCCCAGTGCTCCCAGTGCCACCAGTGATCCATGCCAGGCCTCCCAGTGCCCCACTCCAGTTCTCCCAGTGCCCCCATTGATCCATCTCAGGGCCACCGGTGCTCCCAGTCCCCCCAGTGCCCCATCCCAGTGCCACCGGTGCCACCAGTATGCACGCCCCAGTGCCCCCAGTACCCCATCCCAGTGCCACCAGCGCTCCCAGTGCCACCCATGACCCTCAACCCAGTGATAAAGGGACCCCAGTGCCCCATCCCAGTGCTCCCAGTGCCACCAGTGTGTCCCCATCCCTCCCAGTGTCCCATCCCAGTGCTCCCAGTGCCACCAGTCCGCATGTCTCAGTGTTCCCAGTGCTCCCAGTGCCTCCATATCCCCACGCCAGTGCTCCCAGTGTCCCCTGTGCTCCCGTCCCAGCACCCCCAGCACCGCCATTCAGCGGCACCAGTGCTCCCAGTGCTCCCAGTGCTCCCAGTGCCAGCCTTGTCCCAATCCCAGAGCTCCCAGTGCCACCAGTGCCACCAGTGCCCCTCTTCCAGTGTTCCCAGCGCTCCCAGTGGCCACCAGCGCCACCCGACCCCCCGTCCCAGCGTCACCAGCGCTCCCAGTCCCTTCCCGTGTCCCCGCCCCAGTGCTCTCGGCATCACTCGCGCCTCCATCCCAGTTCTCCCAGTGCCCCCCGCCCCCCCCAACTGGGGCCGCACACGCGCGTGGGAGCTGAAGCCCCGCCTCCTCGCCAGGCCCCGCCCCCTCGCCGGGCCCCGCCCCCCGCGCTCTGATTGGCCGCGGCGCAAGGGGGCGCTGTGCGCACGGCCCGCGTCACGCGCCCGCCTCCCCCCTCCACGTGACGCCGCCGCCGCCCACGTGACCCCGCCCTCCTCCTCGCGCGCGCGCGGCGCGATGACGTCGTGAGGCGGCGCCGGCGGTCACGTGGGCGGCGGAAAGGCACGAGCGCGGCCGTGCGGGCGGGAACGGTGCGGCGGGAAGGGGGGCGGGGCACTTCCGGTGGGCGGGACACGAGGGCGGGGCACTTCCGGGTGGGGGCTCCCGGGCCATGAGAGCGGCTCTGGGCGTGAGTGTCGCGATATCGGGGCGGGGTATCGCGATATCGCGGCGGGGGTGTGAGTAGGGCCAGGAGGCCGTGATAGAGCGCAGGCCGTGGGGGGGCGGGGCGGGTGTCGCGATACGGGGGAGAGCACATGGCGGCTGCGTGTCGCGACATGGTGGATATCGTGACATGGGGAGCATTGCGTCACCCAGTCTGGGTGTTGTGATGTGTTGGATATCACGACATGGTATCGTGACATTGAGGTATCATGACATGGTATCGAGACATGGGGAATATCGTGACATGGGGCTGTTGTGACAAATCAGGTATCGTATTGTGGCAGATGTGCTGTGGTGAGGTGAGTATCACAACGCAAGTCAGACGTTGTGATCTACATTGAATGTCATGATATGCAGGTATCATAGTGCATCAGAGACACACAGTGCACCAGGTATTGCAATAAATGCCAGGTGTCGTGACACATATTAGATATCGCAATACGTCAGTTATTGTAACGCATCAGATGGCACACAGCACGCTACATATTGTGGTTTATGTCAGATATTGTGACATGTCACTAATTGTAACGTTGGATGTCACACAGTATGCCGTGTATTGCAATATACGTTAGATATTATGGTACATTGGATATCACGACACGTGAGATGTCGTAATGTATCAGGTGTCACGTGCTGTGCCAGGTATCGCGATATATGCCAGATATCACAATATACGTTGGGTATCGTGACACGTGAGGTATCGTAACGCATCAGGTGTCACACGCTGATGCCAGGTATCGCGATACACGCCGGATATGGCGCCATATCGTGACACAGCAGGTATATCAATGCGTCAGACATCACGCAGCACGCCAGGTATGGCGATATACGCCGGATGTGGCGCCGTACCGTTGGCATATCGCGATATACGCGGACGTCCCGGCAGGCGCTGACGTTGGCGCTGCTGACGGTGACGACGGCGCCGCTGCTGCTCTCCCTGTGCCGGCGGCTGACGGCGATGGCGGCCGCAGGAGATCCGTACTCAGCTGGCAGCGTCTCGGCCGCGTTCGTCACCTGTCCCAACGAGGACGTGGCCACCAGGATGGCGCGGTGAGGGGGGGGACACAGTGGGGACAATGGGGGTGGGGACACGGGGACACAGTGGGGACAATGGGGAGCAATGGGGACGGATGGGGACAATGGGGGACAGTGGAGAACAATGGGGACGGATGGGGA